TGAGGATATAGGAAAGGACAAAACAGATCCTCTGTGCTCTCAGGGAGCTCACAGTCTTCCTGGTCTTCTTATCTGGTTAGTCTTCCCTTTTCCCTTCCATTTATCCATAATCTTGCAATAGGCACAGGAATGAAATCTTCACTGACCACTCCAATCACAGGCTTCTCCTTTCTCTGACCTCCCATAGCCCTTTATTTTAGGTGACCATGTGACTTATTGTCTGACCCTGAACACTACTGAGTAAAAGAGGGTGCTACTGATAATTGCGCTGTAACAGCAGGTGCATACGGAGCAAACCACGAGTGTGGTCACCTACAGCATACTGTCCAATACAGTTGGTTCCTCTGCTTCTCTACCAGACTGCACTCCCTGGAAGGCGTAATCCATATCTTACACTTTTATATTGAGTGAGAAATCTAACTTTGGCCAGATCCCAGAAGAACTGCTCAGTAAACACACGCTTAACTTGAAAAAGGTGGTATTCCCCTCCATTACACAACACTGTCGACTTGGAGTTAAAATCTGCCTCGGAATTAAAAATGATTGTTAATCCGTTAATTATATTTTTGAATTTTAAACAGTGTGAAAAATACTTCCTTTGTTTAAGACTCCTTTCTTCTTGGTCTGGCAGAGAGCTCATTTTGATCTTATGGAACACAGCGTAGTAATATTGCACCTCATTTGCTTTCTCTGTTGAAAAAATCTAATTTCCTTTTTAATGAGTGTAATGAACGTGTGAAAACATTCATCTCCTCCACACAGCCCTCATCAGTGTCATGTAAACAATGCACAATAAAATAAATTAGAGCAGCTTCTTTTCTTAATTGTGTTCTGGGTTTCCTTTGAGAGAGGGCAACCCAGCACGGGGCCATGTGTAATTGATCTTTTCTAGATAGCCTGCCACACTCAGAAAAATAGCTCTTATATTTAGATTTTTAGGAAACATTTCCAGCCTTAGTGAGATGAGCTTACTATAATTTAAAAACCAAAACCAAACCAAGTACAAAAACCTGGATCATTAACCCAGAGAGGAAGTTGGTGGCCTCAGAGAAAAGATGCAGAAGAGGAGAGAAGACATCTGGGTGTTTCAGTATCAATGCATTCAAGACACATGATATATTGAGTGATTTTATTCAGTTGAATCAACTTGAAGGCTCCCATGTGCATCACGGTGAGGTTTTCGTTTTCAGGAGGAAAATGTTGTTTTGAGAAACTGCCTATAAGGATATGATTTCAAAAGTGAAGAGAAATGAAGCCAAAAGAAGGGCTCCTTCTAGATGAAAAGGCACATATTCAGAACCATTTTCCTTTTCTGAACAGATCTTTCTAATAACCACATTGTAGGATGTTTACATGTCAAGTGCTTATGACACCATCCCACACCTAGGTTTGCCTTTGGGGAACCAATTATGTGCCACTGGGCTATCGTACTTCGTCTCCCTGCCCCCATCCCCAATTGCCTTGCTTCATTGTCTGTTTTCAGCTGGTATTCTTTTCTGGTTGAATGGCCACAAACACAAGCTGTCTATCTCCCCCAGCTCATGGAGCTCAGCTTGGCAGATGAAAATAACCCTGGTAAAGGAGCTGTTCACAAGCATGAGGCCCTGCTCACAGCCACCAGTGCAGAGGAAGCCCAAGTGGGAAGTCAAATCTACCATTGCCCCGAGGAGCAACCATTGTATAAATAAAATGAACTTTCTCTTCTACCACCACTTCCTCCCAAGAAAAGCAAGAAACTGGTTTTAGACTTCTGACTTCTTTTCAGAATAAAAACAAGACAGCTTTTTATTTTTTTTTCCAACCCATTCAATGCAACGAACAATAAAATATAACCCTGGTCTGCAAACTCTTCAACTCAAGGGACTGCTGTTTGCACCATCTGACCATTTAATACGAAATCTGAAAGCTGTGCTGCTCACCCTCCATAGCTGCCTTTGTCTGTGTTTGAGTCTCTTAACAGAGGCGTGAACCAAAACTCTGTGAATTAACCAAAAATGTAATATTTAGAAGCCAGCATGTGGTTGGTATCACAGCTGGGCTGTGGGGATTTTTATCATAGTAGGGATATTTCCATTTCAGTGACCTCAGACGTAGGATAGGACAACTGACAGTCATCTGCAGGGTCTCAAGTCTTCAATACTAAAGAGTAGAGTTTTTATGTAAGTTTCACTACCAAGATTTATAGATATAAATATCTCCTCCCCAGCCCCCTTGACTTCTCCAGGTCACCCTTGAAATGGGATGGATCCTTTCTCTGCTGGAAATAACCTTACTTTGCAGTTAATGAAAGGAAGGAGAGCCATTTCTGGAATTTGTATTCGGGTAATCAGAATTCTATGCAAGTCTCTAGTGCATGCTTTCAGTTTCCCCCACTCTATAGCTTGCTATTTCTTTATATATATACTGAGGATAAAATATTCAAAGCAAAATCTCACATTAAAGTGTCAGAGGAAGAGTGTCATACAGTGTCAGGGGGAAGCAACACCAATGGGGGGGGGTGTCTTTTGAAAAAGCAACAAATACAGTATGTCTTTACTAAATAGATTCTCCAGTGTTCAGGTTTTCAGATGTTCGGATGCAGTAAATTTTTGGACAGGCAAACGCATTCCCTTCCTGGGGAAAAGGCCCGATTTGGCAGTGTCTGAGCTGAAGGGGTAGCTGAGCACAGGAGGCTCATCCTGGGGACAGGGCTGGGGGAGGGGTCGGGTAGAGAAGGGGAGAGGCCCTTTCCTCAAGCTGCTGTTACCCTAAGCAGACACACCCCTGCAATTTGTTCCTGCAAAAGGAGGCTAGCTACTGGCTGCTTCCTAATTAACCACTGGAGAATAGCCGTGAGGCTGCTGCTTCTTGGAGAGTTCACGGTTGACATCCCCTGCTTGTGACAGCAGCTAAAATACAGTTTGATGGAGGGAGACGGCGTGAGTGGGCAAACTCAGAGGCTGGTCCAAAAAAGCTGGAGGAGCAAGAGGAAGAGGGGAAGTAAGAAGTAACAGTAGGAATACGGGGGTCGGGTGGAAAGGAATACAGTTTGATGGAGGGAGACGGCGTGAGTGGGCAAACTCAGAGGCTGGTCCAAAAAAGCAGGAGGAGCAAGAGGAAGAGGGGAAGTAAGAAGTAACAGTAGGAATACGGGGGTCGGGTGGAAAGCAGGAGGGAACATTCTTAGAGCTAGACAAACCTGATAGAAAACAAAAAGGAAGAAATGATCG